TTTTGTTTTTCTTTTTTAAAGATGAGCAAATGCTCAAAGTTACCAATTTTAAAATAAAAAGTTTTATTTCAGGACCCTTAGAAGCTGGATGGAGGATCAAAACTCAAAGTTTGGAGATCGAAAGAAGGAAGCAAAAGAAAAGGTTCTTCTAGCAAAGGATAAGGTAAGTACTAAGATATTTCTGTTGAATGATGAGGTGGTTTTCTAGCATCTTCATTTGAGAAATTGAACGTTGCTATTTTTATTCTTATTTTTTCTATTTAATACAGGAGAAACAGTTGAAGAAGAAAATGCAAGATAAGCTGGCCGAAGCTATTATTGCAAAAAATGGTGCTCCACTTTCAATTTCTGAGCATGATGCTATTGTTGCAAAAATAAAGAGGGAAGTGGCACAAGCTCATAGAGAGATGCTGGAAGCAGAGGGCATGTTGCCAAAGAGTATGTTTTGTACTTCTAATTTTCATGGTTCAAACTAATGTTTTGAGAATTTGTGCAAGGATTCTTTTCCATCTTTTTTCTGGATTTTAAATTGAAAGTCTTCCCCCTTTCCATTTAAATTCTTGTCAGGGGAACTTATAAATTATCCAACTTACCAAATTGGACTGGGCAATATCTGTCTATGGATTTGTCAAAGTAGAGTTTATGCATGCAAAGTAATAATCGCTCCTAAAGCTTTTAGCTGAAAGTTAATAAAAGCTGAATGGATTTTTTTGAACTTAAAAAGGTTCTAAAGAGCAGTAAATGTTTGCTGTCTGACCTGCCAGTTAGCATAGGATAGTGCAATACTGAACTCTGATCTAAAGGGGAACAAGCTCAGTCTAGGAGTGAAGGGAAAACAATTGTTTGCATACCAGTTTATGCATCATTATTCAGATACCATTTTTGACATGCATTCTAAACAAATATTCTTACACACTGTTGAACACGATAATTAGAGCGAGAAAGAGCTGATGCTGTCAGGACGGAGCCTATCCTATTGGGCGTTAATGGTCATGCTTTCTGGAAATTGAGAGGCTATACTGGTGAGCTGGACATATTACTTCAAGGTGAGATTAAAGTGCATTATCTTAATTTACTGAGATTAAGGGTATACTTTGGAAGTTATTGAGATTATTCCTTAAATGAACAGATTTGGGGACATGGGATGCGGTTGTGACTGATGACAAATGGTTTGGCTATGGTGTTGTGCAGAAACAAGAAGTCGAGAAATACATCTCTACTTTACGGTAACTAGCCTTAATGGTTTTACTTTATAAAACTATTTATTTAGTTGAACCTCTTATTTTGTATGAGGATTTGTGCTTTCATGTCTATGATCCGAAGAGACATGGAACATAAAGGATTTGAGAAATGTTTCAGCCAAATATTGTGAAAGTGGAAGCTTGTAGGGAACTTAACTCTTGGTACCAATTATGATGTCAGTGGTTATTCATATTATCATATAGATGCTGCCTTCCAGCAAGTTTTATTGAGAGTGTCTATCAAGAATCTTCCTAAAAGTTGGAAGCCTAAGGCTTGGTTTGGAAGTGCTTGGTTATAGTTGTAGTTGTAGGTTTTTTAGTCTCTTAATATTCCAAAAATATGTAAAATGTATTTAATATTTATTTTAATTAACATTATATATATTTTTAGAATAATAAAAAGACATAAAAGCCAAAAACTAAAGCACCAAGAAGTGTTCCCAACAAAGCTTAAAAGATGCCCCATTTAGCATCTAGTCTCTTGACAAAAAGGTTTTGTTTATGGTTTTGTGCTGCTTTTCTCGTTTCATTTTGTTGTCCTAACGACTAAATTCCCTTTTCCTCTATAGGACAAAAAGGCTAAGGATTCAAAAAGTTCTGCACAAACTTCCATTTGCCAGTAGTGAAACAAGCTCATAGCTTTTGAAAATAGCAACCTGGGGACAGCTAGGGCAATCTGGATAGGTGCCTACCATATACAAGAAATTGGTTTTTTTTTTTATTTTGAATATTGGTTACCCCTGAATTTGGATGACAGGCATTGCTTGGTTTCCAACTTTTTATTTTTGAACTTGTGTCATTGTAAGGGAGGAGAGGGGAGGGGAAGGGATGGAATGGAATTATAAGTGCTTGGACCATGGATCAGCTATTGATTTGTTGTAAAACCTTTGATCAATCCAAATGTTGTATTTCAACATTAAATTCTCGTTTGTGACAAAGTAAAAAGGATTGTATGAATTGACGATTTTTTTGTTTATAGTATTA